CCAGTCTTCGGACGGCCCACCCATTTGAACTAATAAAGTGCCAGGGGCCTAAGTGGTCACCTCAATATTAAAAAAAAAAAAAAAGTAAATAGCTTATTATGAAACCAGGTATAATAATAATATATAAGCAAGTCACTAAGTTGAAAATAAAGTTTATTTTTAGAGTTAAACATTGACATATTATATTTAAAATGAAAAAGAAATGAAAAAGTAATAATAGTTGTTTTTAAGAATTCCATTAGTGCTCCAAATGATCTATCATGCAGGTAGCAAATTTTTTATTTAGATAGTTTTTATACAATAAAGAACCTCATATAAATATGCTTTATTATATTGTAACTTGTTAAGACATGCACAATAAGGATGTAGAAGTTGGTATCTTGAAGTTGCAACCACCAGCTTTTATTGTTAATAATTTAATATATATTATTAGGTAAATAAAGCATTCTAGACTCAATATTCGATAATATTTCTGAAAACTCAAATTTTGCAACTAAAGTCTATATTAATATTAATATATAAATTTAAATTAATAATTTTATAAAATAATAATACATATATCACATTTTACCAACTGATAGTTATTTTGTCTTAAAGCTATTTAACCAATATTACGCAAATAATAGTTTGCTATTAATATATACTTGCAACTAATCAAATACTAATATTAACTATGTATTGTGGATAAATAGCTATAGAAAAATTAACTATAGGAAAAATAAGAATTAAACCTACTTTTAATACACCTTTTGATTTAAGTAAAGAATCAATACAATAAAAATAACTATTTCAACAACTTTTATTGGGCTTGCAAATAAAATAAAATATTTATATAGTAAATACTGCTCATCATGAAGTTTGCTAATAAAATATAAATGGTTAGCATTTTTAAAATATCCTACAACAGTAATTGCTGATTTTATTGACTTATTAAAATGATCTAATTCTTTAAATATTTCTCCTATACACAGATAGAATTGGTAAGCAAAACAAGGCAAAAAGACTTTGTCAGTATGTATTAATCTAAATCTATATCTATAATAATAATAATAATAAATTAATTAAATATTATCTTTAGTATATATTTATATATAATAATTTTTAGAATTATCTTAAAGCTGCATAAGCTGCATTACTATCAGTTACAAGCTCTGTTATCTTTATTTTCAATGAATTAATTTCTTCAAATATTTCTTCAGTAATTTGTATAACATCTTCATATTTTTTCTATATTTACTTATATCAATTGCATTCTATATTAATGCTTCTCCCTTAGATGTAATTAAGACTGAACCTAAAATTTCTTGGTTGACTACATTTTTCTATCCATCAAAAGCAATCATTACTCTATATAAATCATTACATGCTTTATCTTGAATATAGGATTTATTAACTTTAGCTGCAGCCTTTAATATATGTCTAGCTAATTGTTTTTGATTAGATAATCTTAAATTAGGATTTAACCATTTATAATAAGCCATAACCTTTTTATCTTCAACCCATCAAAATAACCAACTATTTGCTACAGTTATGCTTAAAATTTGATCTTCAAATCGAGCTTGTTCTGAAATAGTTGGTGTTAGAGCAAGAAAAAAATTAATATTTGTTTTATTTTTTATTACTATAGAATTAGCAGTTCTTTCAACTATATTTTCAACTATATTCTCAGCTATATTTTTAATATCTTCATCAGAAAATTCTTATTTAGATTGTATATATTTTTCTAATAGTTGTTTTTCAAACAAACCTTTATTTAACATTATACAAGAGAATAATTTAATAATAAAATATATTAATAATTAATAAAAATACTGATTCTGCTATAAAGCACTATATACAGTACCCTAGTATTTTTCAAAAGAATATTTGTCAATTATAAGATTATTAATGTGGCTACTTGTTTAGTACTGGGATACTTTTCTAAAACAATAGAATTTACAATTAAATAGTAAAAGTGTACTATATACAGTACTTTACAGTAACTCTGTAGTAAGAGATAAATAGCTTGTCAAAAAAATAAAATTAATATATTTATAAAAGCTCTTTCTTTATCTTCTAGATAATCTAACCTTACTGGCAGCTCTTCACTATTTAAAATATTTTTAGCTTGTTCTTTTTTATCAACTTTATATATATAATTTATACACACTTTGAGATAGTTTTTAACTAATTTTTTTCAATTAACAAGTTTAATTTTTTTAAAATTTGATGCTTTAAAACAGGGTTGATAATAGCAATATTTATTATTTGGTCTTTGAGGATTAACATATTCATCAGTTGTTATAATATATTCCATAAGGTAATACCAATATTTTCTCCCACTATGTGTTTTAGATTATGTTTCTTTAGTGGCTGACATTATAGCTAAAAAGGGATTCATAGTAAAAAGTAAGCAAAGAATTTTCAATTATTTGATTATATATAATAATAGCGAAAAGTATATTAATTCAAGAGTAAACTACTTCTATTAATTTATGCTTCTTTTATATTTAATTACAAGACTTTATTTATTTCTTCTACATCTAATTTAATTATTATATAGCACATAGCTAATTTTCCATTCTAAGACATTTATTTCAATATTTTTTTTACATGAATTCGAAGCTACTTCTAAATTCAAATTGCATATTCACATGTAAAATCTTAGCTACGTACATATTTTCATAATCTTATTACTTTTTAGATTTATTAATTTTCACCCTTTCTTTATTATTGTAAGTAATAATAATATTTTAATTACTTTATTATTTAGGTTAATAGCTTCGAAATTGCATTTCTTTACCTTATTTTAAATTTATTTTGTCAGTATTACACAAGTTTTCTAAATATATTTATATTGCCAATTATGTAATAATATTAAGTGATAACAATAATAGCATTAAATTATTTCTTATTTGGGTAAGTAGCTCTAGTTTTAGCTAATGTTAATACTTGCTTTTCACAATTGTATTGACACAGGCATGTTAATTTTACCTTAATAATATTAGAATTATTACATTTTGTTGGAAATATAATTGTATATACTCTTAATCATAGTATAAATGCTTAGATCTTAATGTGAAACTGTACCTGTAAAAAATTATACATTTAATATATTAAAAGTTTAGTTTGACTTGACTCCAAAAGTCAAGTCTTTATTAAAATTTGGTCTTGAGTCAGACTTGGAACTCAACTTGCATTTTATATATATATTGAATATTTTAAATAGCTAAAAAAATATATATTCTTCTTGCATGTATATACATTCTTTTTAATGCTATATTTAAATATACAAGTTGCATGTGAAATATGAGTCAAGTTTCAAGTCTAACTTGGAACCGAACTTTAATTAAAACTTGAATTTTAAAGTCAAGTTGAACCAAACCAAACTTTTAGAATCTCTAATTATATTGCCTAACCACAAATTATATCATTTAATCATTTAACCAACAACAGTATATATGATTTTTTATTTTATTTATATTTAACTGGGGGTATAAAGATCTAAGCACTTAAAAAATGCTTCTTTTTATTTTATTTGCATCAATTTATTTATAGTGATTATAAAGATACTTAATTAATATTAAGCTTAAAATAAGCTATTCAAGTCTATTACTATCTGCATTAATTTAAATTAGCTAGTAAGCATAGAAATTTATTTATAAATTGTATGTGAAATAACTTTTATGAAATAAGAATTATTGAAAATAAAAATTTTATTAATTTGCATATTGCAATTAAGATAACATATGTGTAATATAGTTTCAGACATGTAATCCTGATATAATGATTTTTTTTTTTTTTTGGTATTAAGGTGAGGCCTTGCTCGTATCTTTATTGATTGATTTATATAAGTAATTACATATCAACTATATAAAAACTTAATTTGTATAATAACAAATAAATATAAATTATATGCAAGAATAAAAGCTCAGACTA